CAGCAGAGCCACTGTGCAAGACACAGGTCTGTGGGGACAAAAAAAGAAAGTTGAGGCACCCTTCTTCGTTTCTGGTGCCTTTTAGGTTCTCTCTCTGTTTTTTTCTTTCTACTCAAGTGTCCACAAGAACACCAAAGCTTTTAGAGGTTAAGCTCTCCAGGCTTTCCACGTCAGGAGCTACCTCATATCCACTGAAGCCACTGGAAGGAACATTGTTCCAGAGAGTGCTTGAAATGTACTGTTGGTTATGTGTTAACACCACAGGTCCTCAGAGTACATGCTGTTCTCAGGCCAATATTTCTGGCAGAGAAATACTCAGGCCAGTATTTCAGCAGAGCAGTCGCAAATTACCTTCTGCTGAGGCTATTGTGGATCAGAAACTTGATTTTCCCTTCTGGCTTTTGCAGGGAACACACAAACCGTGCTTGCTGAGCCACCCACGGAGACTGGCTGCCACCCACAAGTTCTGGGTCAGGAGTGTGTTGTGACTGAACTATAAAATATATGCTAAAAGAAGTTAAAGGGGCACAATGTATAGTAATGGCACCAACTGCTGTTAATCAACCTAGATAACGTCACAGGCTTCGATGGGATTTCCCCCTCCTCTGTCCTGGGAATATTTGTCATTAAGAAAAATAGACCTATAATAGAAGTTTCCACCAAGGGGTATTCAGATATATTCTGTCTTGGGTTCAAAGGCTGGTGGGTAGGCAGATGGCAGATCTGTAAAAAGCCTCCTTTAGCCGACAGAAGTGCTATGGGAGAGCTCAGAGTCAGGCAGACTTCAAGCCTGACATCAAGAGCTTTTCCCTACCCTCGTGTGGTCTAGGCAGGCTTATGTCAGCTCAACAGTGAGTGTGTGAGTCAGCACAGGCAGGCAGACAGAAAAAAAACACCAATTCACGACTATAACGCAAAGAATAAATTTATTTCCATTACCTCACTAGCCAGGGGATCCCTGAAGCAACACCTGGACAGAGGCACACAAGAGGAGACACAGGCACTGTTAAACTCGGTCCATGCCAGAGGATCCCTGGCCTGCTGTTTACACAGGCTTATCAAGGGTTATTCCCAGCTCCAAGGTCACTTGGGCAATTCACAATCCTCCTCCAGCCTTCCACTTTTTAACCCATTCCTCCCACCGGTGAGCATAAAAGAACTCTGCCAAGCATCTTATGTGTCCTATTGAAACCTTGCCTGGAAAAAGTAAATAGACAGGCTTTCCAGGGCTATAAATCAGGAAGGAACTGGTTTTCCTTCCTGGTGCAGACAGAGCATTCACTGTACTTGTGTGGAACCTTTGCCAGTGTTTTTAATACTGCACCCGTAAAACTCTGAGCTGAGACACAGACTATAAAGCCCCTGAGGCTTGAGAAGTATTTCCAGAAATTAAGATCTATGTTCAGTCTGAGGACAAGTGTGGAGCTGGCATTCTCATTCATCCTTGGGCTTGCTTTTCCATATTCTTCAGGAATGTCAATACCATGTGCCAGTCTGACATTCACTTAGGGCTATATTAAGATGTTACTAAAATGCCTGGGAAAGGTCAGGTACATTATGATCCTTAATTAAGAGATCTGTAATTCTTCTCCTCACAGGTGCTATTCAATGTGTAGAGACCCACAGCCAAGTCTGAGATCAATGTACCTCATCCTGACTCCTTGTTCTTATTATTCCTCCGCTTATTTAAGCAATGTGGTCACCTACAGCACTGTGAGTCCTGCCTGTAGCTCCTGATGACTGTTCAGCATTCATGGCAAAACACAGGCTTCAGCTGCTCAGGTGCACTGGGAGTCACTGTCCCAGCTCTCCTGAAGGGAACTCACAAGTGCAGCCTCGTGTTTTTCAAAGCAATTGTCTTGTATCACAGCCCAGTTCCTCAGGACAAAGAGGCAGGTAAATTCCTCTTTTCCCCTGTGGGCATTTACAGATGGTCCATCTCATGCTGTGCTGCCTTCCATGGCTGCAGTGACAGACTCAACGAAGGATACCACTCCAAAAAAGAAAAAGGAAGGTTTTCAGGATCTCGAAGGAAAAAAATCTCTGCATCTCCAGTAAAGAATAATCCTGATATGCAGCAAAAAAATGAAGCTTTGGAAGGGGGAATCTGTTACTCTCTCAGGGGGTGGGGATGAAAAGCCCATCCAGAACAAACCTCACAGCCATAATGAGAGCTGAATATAGCAATGAAGTGCATGGGAGTCGGACCTATACATGGATCTTTAAACACACAGAGCTGTGTGGAAAAAGTGTCATGACTGGACTGGGAACACCTGAGTGCTGCCATCCTTTCTAAGGAATAACTCACTCTACTGCTGCTGACCTGAATGGGGAAAGATCCCTTAAAACCTGGCTCAGATCTCAGCCAGTGGCTGTTCGTATTCCTTCAGTCTCTATGAACTGCTCCCTTGGGACCTGCTCAAGGGACTGACTTTGTCCTGGGCTGCTGAACTAAAAGTAACATTTTTTTCAGGGAAGAGCCCTGCTGACTCTGACACTTCCTGCATCAAATGTGTCCCCTGTTTGGCTTTATCCCAGACCATCTGACATGAAAGCAACATAACAAGGGTGAAATTAGGGAATAGGGCTCCTGCAGGATGGTTTGAGAGACGGAAGACAAATAGTTGACTACAAAAAAATCTTCCACATTTTCCAGAGATGGACAGATACCCTCTTGGGGAGGCAGCCTGGCTCTATCAGCCTCAAAGGGGCAGGCAGGCAGTTGGAACAGGCTTTTCATACTAGAAGTGCGCTGATCTCAGAAAAAACGGGATGTAGAAACAACCCTCATCTGAAAAACATTTAATGGAGTATTTCATAAAACAGTCTGCCATGAGACGACTTGAAAGACTTGTTTCAGTAAAGCTGTGTGGGAAACAAACAGAAAGCCAGTTATTTTGTGTCCCATGATAGATTTTGCCCGTGTTTTGGCTGGGGTTTTTGTTTTGTTTTTTTTGGTTTTGGTTGGTTGGCTTGTTCTTTTTATGTGGGTTAGCGAGTCTAAAGGTAGCATGTGCTCTTTTGTGCATGTCTTACCTGTTCTGCTAAACATAAGAGCGAAGGTTGCAGGACACCCTTTTGTGCAGGTTTTCCTCAGACACTTTTGTCTGGGGTGTGAGATGCCCAGACAAAATGTGCCACTGGTGCCTGCACACACATCAGTTCTTTGGGGTCTTTAGTGTCGTTCATCCCTTAGGAGGGGGCTGGTTTGGTCATGTTAATAGAGGTTGAGATGTGCTGGCAGGAGTTGCCTAGATGCTCTTTGTCTTCCTGCCATGTGTTCCTGATCTTAAATTTGCAAGGCTGCATTTGGGCTGTTCTAAAAATGTACTCACATAATAAAACCCCACCTTATCAACATAAGAGAAAGAGGAAACCTCTCTGAGTGTGCTGTAAATATGAGAGAGGTTTCAGAACCCTCTTTGCTTGCATTTTGTTGTGAACTTCTGCCAAGTCCACTTTCGTCATTATATAAAAACATTTTAATATTAAATCCTAGAGATTATTCATGTGTTCAATGATATAAATACAGTGAGCACTCAGCATCTCATAGACTGTAATGAAATGGCAACAATTAATGCATTGAAAATAAATAGCAGAAGCCAGGTCCTTCAAAATCCAGTGTATTTCTTCATAAGGTACCCCATTTTTAAAGGAATAGAGTGTACCTTCATCCTTATCAGCAAAGGCTGACCTTACATAGCTCGGTGTGGGCAGCACGCATAGCTCATAACTGACCCTTTCCTCTTGCAGTTAATCTGGTGGAACATCTTGCTTGAAAGCACAAGTTTGGGATTGCAAAGGCTCAGTTTTGCCCTTGATTGCAACACAGGTGGAGTACAGTTAATACCTGCAACCTGGCCCGGGCTATTGGCTTTAAGAACTGACATTTCTGAGGGCAAACAGAAGCTCTGAGCTGAGGGCCCCTTGCTGATGGTGCTGCCCCCGAGTCCTGCTCCCCTTGGACGACCCTTGCTGCAGTGAGAGCTGCATCTGTGGTGGGTGGGAATGCAGAGGGCAATAAAGTGAGCCTGCAGAGACCTTTGCTTTCTAACCTCAGGCATTTTTTCACAGCATAGATAAGGTCCCAGACATTCCTCTGACTGGAACTGGGAGACCTTCCTGGCGTGGTGGGATCTTACTGGCACTGCACTGGTCCAGATTATGTTGAGCTTCAGATAAGAGCTGTACAGAATGTTGGTGGACATTGCTTTTCAGATCTTGAACATGTGCAAAAATCCAAAGGTGCTCAAAACAAAATCCCTGTTAAAGACACAGTGACTCACTGTTAAAACGTTCACAAGGCACGTGGATGTGGCATTTGGGGATATGGTTTAGCGGTGGTTTAGGTGCTGGGTTGACAGTGAGACTGGATGATTTCAGAAGTGTCCTCCAACCTTAATGATTCAGGATTCAGTGTTTTTGGGGTTGCCCCAACCCAGGTACAGCACCGTTCACTTGGCCTTGCTGAACCTCATGAGGTTCTCATGGTCCCACTTCTCAAACTTGCTCAGGTCCCTCTGGATGGCTCCATCCTTTATTATTTCACCTGCCCTGCTCAGCCTCCTGTCTCCTGCCATCGTGCTGAGGGTGAGCTCAATCCCACTGTCTGTGTCACTGGTAAAGACATTCCAGAGCCCTGGTCCCAAGGCCGAGCCCTGAGGGACACCCCTCGTCCTCGTCCTCCCCCTGGACAAGGAGCCACTGGCCACAACTCTCTGGCTGCATCCCTGCATCCAATTGCTCATCCTCCGAGTAGCCCACCCTCCAAACCCATGGCTCTCCCACGTGGAGATCAGGATGTTGTGTGGGACCGTGTCAAAAGCCTCCCAGGGGTCTGGGCACACCAGGGCCTGCAGGTCTGGGGGCTGCCCAGTGCCAGGCAAGGCCTGTTCCAGGTGGATCCAGCCAGTTCCAGCTGGTTCCAGGTGGTTCCTGCTGGTTCCATGGTTGTTGGGGTGCCAGGGGTGGCCCTTTGTGACAGCACCGTGTTCCAGGCCCTTTGTGACATGGGGGCCACGTCGTGCCCAGAGGCCACTGTGACACCAGGGGTGGGGGGCACTGAAGGGGCGCAGAGCCCTGGGGTGTCCCCTCTGCAGAGAGCACCTCGCTCAGGAGGCAGCAGCTCCCTGGGAGCCTCTGAGGGAGAGGATGATGGAGATGTTCAAGGAGAGGCCGAACCCCAACTCCCAACCTGACAATATCCTGTCCCAGTGGGAAGCTGAGGAAATCCAAGAGCTGTCCCAATGGGAAGATGTGGAATATGAGGACCTGTCCTCATGGGGATTTGAGAGGTACCTAGAAGCATTGCAATGGGGAGAGGAAAAAGTCCATGAGCTGTTCCAATGGGAATTTGAAAGGTACCAAGAACTGTCACAATGGGGACATGAAAGAGTCCATGAGCTGTTCGAATGGGAATTTGAGAGGTACCAAGAACTGTCACAATGGGGAGATGAAAGAGTCCAAGAGCTGCCCCAATGCAACAACCAAAGAATCCAAGAGCTGTCCCAGTCGGAAGGTGAGACAGTCCAAGAACTGTCCCCAGGGGTAGATGTGAAAGTCCAAGAGCTGTCCCAATGGGAAGGCAAGAGAGACAAAGAGCTGTCCCAAGCAGAAGATGACAGCGACAAAGTTCTTTGCCAGTGGGAAGACTCCATGGAGCAAGAGCTGTCCGAAGGGGAAGTGAGAGTAGACCCAGAGTTGTCTGAAGGGGAAGTCAAAGTCAGAGGAGACCCAGTGTTGTCCCAAGAGGGAGACAACATTTACCAAGAGCTGTTGTGGGAGAACTGGGAACACATCCCAAATCACACCATCTGGGTCAACCTCAAGTACCCAGAGCTCCTGCAGAACCTTCACTGTGCTCCCCAGGGGTCAGCACAGGCAGCAGCTTCTCCTGCCTCATGGGAGCGGGTGAAGGCAGCAGGGGCAGAGAGCCCGGGCCCTGCCCCACACAGCCCCTGCTGCCCCCCCAGCCCCTCACCTTGCTGTCAGGAGGGGGCAGTGGGGGGGGCAGAGCTGCCAGGGCCACAGACTGAGCAGTGGTCCTTTGCCAAGGAGGAGAAACTGTGGAAATACATCACCATCCGCACCATCTGGGTCAACCCCAAGTACCCACAGCTCCTGCAGGACCCTCACCCTGCTCCCAAGGGGTCAGCACAGGCAGCAGCTTCTCCTGGCTCCGGAGAGCAGGTGCCAGAGGCAGGGGCAGAGAGCCAGGCCCCCAGGAAACGTCCCTCCCGCTCCAGGCGGATGCTCCGGGCTCTGCGCCGGCTGTTCCGGATCCCCTGCATGGCGGGACGACCGGAGGATTAGTGCCCACTGCCAGCACCAGGCCGGGCCCCGGAGATGGGAGCTGACCTGGAGCCTGCACAGCTCCCTGAGGGAGCAGCACGGGCTGGCCTGGATGGCCAGGCCTTGGAAGGATCAGTTCCTTGTTGGTAGAATTGCCTGGCTCAGGTTTAGGACTTGGCAGGTTTCAGTGACCCCAGACCTAAGCAGGGTGTAGAGAGCTAATGAGCATAAGAAGGGAGGAAATCTTGTAACCAATAGAAGATAGAATATGAAATAGTCTATTTAGTTAGATTAATAATATTTCTTAATTAATTCTTAATTATATTGATGTATTAAAATAATGTAAAGTTTTCACAATTAATAAGATAATTTTATCTACTAATTTATTTATAATAGTTGTTATTTAATTAATATTTTATTAAGAATAACAAAATAATATATTAGGTTAATAAGAGAACTATATAACTTGTAGCCAGTGAACATTAATGTCTTTGTTTGCTAAAACGTATAAATAGTGAAAAGTGTTGATAGTCGTTCTGGCCTTGTGAATTTGCCACCCGGCACCCCTTTCTGTGCAGAACTGAAATAAATAAAGAAATTAAATACCTCAACTCTGTGTGTGGGGATTGGCTTCTTCCACAACGGGTAAAAGAACCTGTTTAGGGACAGCAGCTTTGCCATGGACACATCAATAAAAGATGCTGGTTTTCCAGCCGTACTCGCCTGTGCCTGGTCCATCTCAGGAGCAAGATGGGAGCAGGCGAAGCACCAGAGATGGGAAACTCGACGGCTGCACCGTCACTGTGGCCAAGACAGTCACCAATGGCCACTTCACCCATGAGAGCCTCTCTGGGAACAAGCAACAAATCCCAGAGGGCACCTCTGCCAGTCGGCTCCCTGAGCCCCTGTACCAAGAAGTTGTCACCCAAGTGTTTTAGGAATCTCCTGGACCTGTTTGTACCAGCTGGGTTGATGGTGGGCCTGGATGATCTAGAAGGTCTCTTCCAACCTTGATGATTCTGTGATTCTGTGACTAATGACCTGGAGCAGAAACAGCTTAAATAAAGCCATAACAAAAAATTTAGGATATTTACAACATGTAAGTATTCTCAGAAAATTGTCCTAAGTACTACAAGGTAGAACATGATTTGCAAGGTTAAGAATTCACTTTTGTTTATCTTTTCTCACTTCCCCTTTGTTTTCCAGTCAAAATCCTTATCAGCACTCAGAACCAGGACTTCAGAAAGTCAAATCTTCCCCCTGTAATCCAAAACCCAATCAGATAATTGGGAAATGTAATCTTTTTAATAGAATTTAGTTCATTCCTAAGTACTCGAACAAACACCATGGGATTTTCTCAATTTTTTTAACTAGATTTTATTTCTTCTTTCTTTGACTGACTGGTACCAAGATTTACCTAATGTGAAAAAGGTTTTAAAAATGGCATAAAGGGAGTAGAAACTGAAAAGCTATTAAAAAAAATTCAGTGAAGTCAGTTGTTTTTATTGAATATGAAAAAGTGCTGTAGAGAGGGCAAAATATTTGCATGTTCAACTCCAAGACAGATACATAAATAGACACATAGATCCAAGTTTTAGAAGAAAAAAAGTGTGTGGATTTAGTGCAAAAATTTTTGCTATTCTAGCTACTCAATTCCATTTAGGGAAAGAGCTTTTCTGCAGAAAAGTGAAAAAAATATACATAATATATTTAATACCGGAAAGAAAATTGAAAGGATAAAAGTGTATGGGTAAATAGAATTAATGATCAAAATGATGCCAAAAGGTGTGAATTTTCTTATTCATTACTGAGTTCTACTTCATTGTTATATATACTATTTATGGTTCTTTGAAAATGGAACTGTGTACATAAAGAACAGAGCATATTCCCTTTCCTATTGTTCTGGATCCTTTGTTTGCCCACAAGTCCTTAAATCATCAAGCAGCAGTTTTTATAAGATTAATACATTTACATTTCAAATGCACGTGCATGCTGTTGGATGAGTAAACTGAATAATCACAAGCGTCAGAATAATAACTGTAGGCAATATTGGAATGAGATTTTGCTTTATTTCATGTGTGTGTGTGAGAACAGTAAAGTGAGATTTTGGGAGGAGGAGGTCTAACTTGAACTTCCTGCTTCCCCCAAAACCTACGTTCAGTAACGTGTTCAGAAACTTAGTAGGATTATAAAACCAAAATGCAGAGGTTACATGAGTAACTACACTGAATAAAAATTAGATAGTAAGAACATAGTTGGTAAAGACTGGACAGCATCACAAGCTTTTAAAACATATCTATTAATACTGATTTATGCAGTAAAATGTAGTAAATTCATATGGTTGGAAACCAGGTGAAAGGAGCCCCAGGTGTAACAAATTAAAGGCAATGCAATTATACAAATGTTTAATTGGAGCATAACATTCAGGGGACAGGTGGTATTAGGAGGCTTAGTGAAAATGAAGACATGAGCTGAAAGTAGTAGAATTACATTAACATGGGAGGTTATCAAAAATTGGGGAAAAAATCAGAAAACCTTACTTCTAAAGGAACTTGGGATGAAAAGGATCTATTGACTGTATGAATTTGCAGTGGGATGCCTGAGTAAAATAGTTTAAAGCTCTTAGTATAGTAATCTCCATTTAAAAAGATACCAGGAAAAAAAAGGGAGTACACAGAAGGAGAAAGCAGGGACAGGCTACCTGGGAAGTGCATCGAGGCATTGCCAGAGCATGCAGGGAATGCCAAATGTAGGAAAACCAAAGCTCAGCTGGAGGTGAATCTAGAAAATGATGTGAAGGACGACAAGAGCTCTTTCTTTAAGTACTTTTGCAGCCAAATGAAGGCTAAGGAAGATGTTGGCCTGCTGTTCAGTGTGGCTGGGGACCTCAGACCTAATAAAAAAGGTTGAAGTGCTCAATGCCTTTTTGCTTTCTTTATCATTGACCTGGTTGTCCCTCTGGCCTCAGGTGCCTGAGCCTCCTAATGGAGCCTGTGGGAGTAAAACCAGACAGAGTTAGTGCTTGGGACAGTCAGCCATAGACAAGTCCATGGGACCAAATGGGAGGCATCTAGGGAGCTTGGGAAGCTGGCCTCTGTCACTGCAAGGCCACTTTCTGTCACTGGTCACAGTGAGGTTCCTGGCGACTGGAAAAAGACAAATGAAGGGCAAGGAGGATCTGGGGATATTTAGGCTGCTCAGCCCCAGCTCAGTCCCTGGGGATGCTGTACAGCAAATCCTGTTACAAGCCATTTCCAGCCACAGGAAGGACAAGAAGTTGATTTGGAACAGCCAGCATGGATTTACCAAGGGCTAATTGTGCCCTTCCAGCCTGAACCCTTTCTATGATGGTATGACAAGCTCTGTGTAAGAAGGGAGAGAAGTGGAGATCATATTCCTAGACTCCAGAGGCTTTTGTCAGTGTTTTCTTCAATATCTTTATTGCCGAACTAGTGAGATACAGACTGGATAAGCGAATGATAAGGTGGGTGGAAAACTGGCTGGACTGCTGGGCTCAGAGGGTTGTTTGTAATCTGTCAGGGGTATAAAGTCCAACTGGTGACCAGTTACCAGCAGTCTCAGGGATCAATACTCGGACCAGGAGTGATTTATGCCTTATTAATGACCAAGGCAACAGTCAGGGAGCAATGCAAGCTCCCCCTGTGGAAGCAGTCGATCCATGGGGCTGCTGTTCAGAAGGACCATGGCAAGTGTGTAGATACCAAGTCCAGGAGGTGATTCCTCCCCTCTGCTCAGCACTAGTGAGGGCACATATTGAGTGCTGTGTCCAGTTTGGGGCAGGACAGGACTAAAATGGTCAGGAGCAGGAGCACAGGACATACAAGGAGAAGCAGAGGGAGCTGGGACTGTTGAGGCTGGAGAAGAGACAGCTGAAGGGAATTTATTGCTGTTTGGACCTGGCTCATGGGAGGTTGCAGAGGGTGGAGCCAGGCTCTTCTCAGAAGTGCGAGGTGACAGGACAAGAGGCAATGGGCACAGATTGAAACATTGGAATCTTTGATTAGATACCAGGAAAAAAAATTATCAGCATGAGTCTGGTAAGACTGGAGCACAGGGAAGTTGTGGGATCCCTGTCCCTGGAGAAACGGAAAACTCGCACAAGCCCTGAGCAGCCAGAGCTGATTGACCCTCCCATGAGCAATGGGTAACATTCAGTGGCCTGCCTTCCACAGAATCAGAATATTCTGAGCTGGAAGGGACCTACAAGGCTCATCGAGTCCAGCTCCTGGCCCTGCACAGGTCCATCCCCAACTCACACCATGTGCCTGAGAACATTGTCCAGACACTTCTTGAGCCCTGTCAGGCTCGGTGCTGTGACCACTGCCCTGGGGAGCCTGTTCCAAAACCCAACCACCCCGTGGGTGAAAAACCCTTTCCTAATATCCAACCTAAACCTCCCCTGACACACTCCAGGCCATTCCCTTCGGTTCTGCCCCTGGTCCCCCCAGAGCAGAGCTCAGTGCCTGCCCCTCCTCTGCCCCTCCTCTGCCCCTCCTGGGGAAGTTGTAACTGCAGTGAGGTCTCCCATCAGTCTCCTCCAGGCTGAACAGACCAAGTGCCCTCAGCTGTTCTTTGTATGGCTTCCCTTCCAGGTCCTTCCCCAACCTCAATTATTCTGTGATCCTAATGATTCATCTTATATTTTGAGGTGTCCAAATACTGTCTCACTTTTTGTCTTTAATTTGTGAGCACAAATTTGAAACAATTCTGAGGGAAAAGAGTGCCAAAGGCCTGGACGGGAGTTC